AAACTCTCCTTTCTGTCATACATGAACTTCTCCCATAACCTTCTCCAAGGACGTGTGCCACGGGGCACACAATTTCAAAGGCAAAATTGTTCTTCGTTCTTGGACAACCCTGAACTTTTTGGTCTCGAAGATATATGTGGAAAAAACCATGTTCCGAAAACTAGTACATCACGACCACCCGAGGAATTGTCTGAGGGAGAGGAAGAAATGTTCAACTGGGTAGCAGCTGCAATAGCCTATGGACCTGGTKTTTTCTGCGGATTGGTGATCGGATATATCTTCACTTCACGCAATCAGGAGTGGTTCACAGAAAAGTTTGGTTGAAGAAAACGCAGAGTCACCACCACACGTGCTCGTTAAGCTCATCCCTCGCAGTCTCCCTAATAAGCTTTTGTGAAGCATATGTTCTTATTCATGTTTGTACTGAACTGCCATTTGAGATCTCGAAAAGACCTTGTTCGTGTTTGTTTGTACTTTTTATTTAATGGTGTTGTTTGTAATAAACGTCTTTGATGGTATTTGATAATCACTTGTGTTTGATAAGCAAGATGTAATGGTATTTGTAATAAACGTATTTGGTGGTATTTGATAATCACTTGTGTTTGACTGGTACTACAACACATGTTTTCTCTTCTTCTTTTCACACTTCCCCAACAAGTCAGTCATTCTTAATAAATTACACTGGTCCTTGCCTAGATGTGGAATAGTGCGGCCGTGTCGGGGGGTTGTGTTTTCCAATTCTCACTAGCGTGCAATAAAATATAGATCCTCTGTTTCTTCAGAGTTWACGAATAGTGTGACATATTCGTGTATATATTAATTTTTAATGTCACAGAAGTTACTCGATCGAATTCAAAAGACAAATGGAGAGATTCCGAAATTTAAAAGATAACTCGAATTTTCTCTTATAGTACTGAAGGATCCAGACAATGCTCCAAAATAGAAAATGTATAATGAAAATAGCTTAGTAGCCGTCAAAGATGGTATGGTGGAAGAAAGAAAACAAAACAAAATTTACACAATTTGAGAAAGAGAGAAACAACCTGAAGCTGTATAGTAAAGTTTATATGGTGGAAGAAGCTAATCCCATGAGATGTTTACATAACATCTCTATTTTTTCTAAAGAGTTTTTTTCTTCACTACATGACCAAACATTATCCTTAAAAAATGACAATTAGAGCCTTGGTCATAATAGATGGTTTGTGTCCGGATTCGGCTAGGAAGGACGAGATAGTTCTAGGTAGGGCAAGAAGGAGCAAGAGTAGTAGCCGCCGCTGTTTGAGGTAAACCCTAACCCTAGCCGCAGTTGACCTAACTTCCGGGGCAAAAAAACTGCTAGGTTTCAATGAGTTAATGGTTTACGACTATGTGGAGAAATTTGACAGAATTCTTTGACCAAGACTTATAAAAATAAACCGAATTCCACTTGTATCTAGCTCCTTTATCATCTACTTTTCTCTGTCTATTTGAAATAATTGATGTAGAGCCAAAGAGTCATTCGCTTTCACTGCCGTACACTACCCCATAATTTGTCTCACATTTTCTGTTCACACACGTGGAATCATTATTTCACAATTCACACATGCTTCTGTTCAGACTTCGGAGGAGTCAATCAATTTTTTTTTTTTGTTTGGTTTTTGTATAGCCACCAATTATTCTAGCGGGCTTTTGGATGTAYACCGTGTGTGTACAAGTAGACATAATCTTACACAAATCTTGAGATTATATATATTTTTTTCTTTTATCGAACGCAACTTACGCAMAATCACAAATCTTTGAATGCTAGTTTCGTTTCATTTCATAAGAAAATAAAACGAAAACTCAACGGTCAAAATACTACSTACCCTTATAACGAAAATAATATTCTTCTTTCAATAAATAATTTTTCTTTTGTATTTTATTTTTGGTTTGTTTAGGTGAAAGGGTTGTTGAAGGAGAATATTCCTAATTTTGGGAAACAAGTTTTTGGAAAAAACTAACCTAATTTTAAACGAAAACCATACC